CTTCATTTGGACAACTTTAAAGGTGATTTTCTCAATATTTAGATTTTTTTGCACCCTCAGATTCCAGATTTTCAAATAGTTGTCTCTCAGCCAAATATGGTGCTATCCTAACAAACCATACATCAATGGAAAGCTTATTCAGCTTTCAGATGATGTATACATTGTCAATTTAAAAAAAATTGACCCTTATTAAGACTGGTTTTGTGGTCCAGGGTCACATATTTAAACATACACAAGCAAAAGAAAGGTGCCTGGATAAAGTCTTGCTTGGTTCCTTTATAAATGTTAATGGATTGTAACCACTAACTCTAATGACAATATATGTAACTTTTCATGGATTTTAAAAGCAGTTTTGGGTTTAATGCACTTGGTAAAATGGATAAACACACTCAACGTGAAAAAAAAGTGAAAGCAGCGTATGTAGTAATTTGACACTGAATTTATAAACCAGGATGTAGGATTTAGTTGACGTATCGTACATAATAGACACAAAAAGACTGAATCTGGCCCCATGTGTATAATCCAAACCCAATATTACAGCATATGTTAATGATCCAGGAACACCTTTAACTTTTCCCTATAACCATGTACATGTAAATTGATCCCAGATATGTAGTTTTTCCTGATCCGCACTCTTTATTTGAGCAGCAGGCTGTTATTGGCGTCTGGAACAGTGAGGTAAATGTTGACTGTATCAGAGCAGGTTTTTCAGCAGGAGGGGTTTGGCGATCTCCAGGATGTCAAGGCTGGGATCCAGGGATCTACCCAAACCCTCCAAGACCATGATGGCAAACACCATAGATGCAAAATTACTCTCCAACTTCACTGCAACAGGAAGAGCAAAACATCTCATTTAAACACACAATAGTATAAAAATACAGTGTAAAATCACAATATCACTATGCATTTTCACTCACTCATGTCACATTAACTATTTGTGCATGCCAGATTTTTAACACAGAAATTTCTGCTTTGTATGTTAGCATTTATTTTGCATGCAGTTCCGGTCTATGCATTATTTAAATAACATATGGTATTTATATATGTATATAACATTTAAATAGGTTTACTACATTTTATTTCAGTTATGTTACTGCTAAATTCAATTATAACCTTTAAAAGCTACCTAAGGTCAAAGTCAATCATTCAGATTAAAACAGAATTGCTTAGCTTTTTAGTACTACTTCCTGTTTATACATTTAAAGGCTGCTTTTTGAATTACTGAAAGGTAGAGGTTACATTAAGCCAATAAGCATTATTTTACAGACATTTTATGATGTACTTGTGTTAAGACCAGCTGCTCTCACCTTGAGATGAATCAGTAAACCAAAGACTCGAGACAACAGCTCGGCCACCTGAATCTATAAAACAACACGAGTCATGTAAACCAACATGAGCCGTTTTTGCTGCTTAATATTTTGATGGAAACCATAACAGTTTTTCAGGATCTCCTGGAACAGAAAGTTCAATGAACAGCATTCACTTGAAATAGAAATCTTTTGTAACATTATAAATGTCTTAACGGTCACTTTTGATCAATTTAACACATTCTCGATGAATAGAAGTATGAATTTCTTTCTTTTTTCACTTAAATGTCTTGCTTTTTTTTATTTATTTTTTTATAAACGTACACATGCCAAACTTTTCAATGGTAGCGTATCATTGTTTCCACAAAAATATAAAGCAATGGTTTTAAACTTTAAAAAATGTTTCTTAAGCAGCAAATCAGTATATTAGAATGATTTCTGAAGATCACGTGACACTGAAGACTGGAGTAATGATGTTGAAAATTCAGTTGCGCATCACAGGAATAAGTCACATTTTAAAATATATTACAATATAAAATATTTTAAATTGTAA